TAGGTATTAATCGAAAAATCGGAAAACTGAAAATTTAGCAACGTCAAAATTTGAAAAATTGTAAAATAGAAATACTGAAGAACTGGAAAATGAAAAAATCCGGAAATCGACAAATCTAAAATTTAAAATATTGAACAATTGAAATATAGCAAAATTGAAAAATGAAGAAATCCAAACATCAAAGAATCAAAAAAGAAAAATTCGAAAATCTAAAACTTAAAAATCGAAAAACTGAAAAATCGACAAATCGAAACTCCAGAATTTAAAAAAATTGAAAAATCGGATAACTGCAAAATCGAAACATCGAAAAATTTTAAAATCGAAAAAGCAAAAAATCCAAAAATCGAAACATCAAGAAATAGAAAAAATTTGAGAAATTGATAAATTGAGTAACTGAGCAATCAAAACATTCAAACATCTGAATTTTATAAATCGAGAAATAAAAAAAATTGAAAAATTTAAAAAAAGAAAAATTAAAACATCGAAAAGTTGAAAAAAAATTAAGAAATCGAAATATAAAACTGTCGAAAATTTGAGAAATCTAAAGTTTAACGAAAAATTGAAAATCCAAAAAATAAAAAAGGGGTGGAAACCCAAAAACTGCAAACTGAAAAATTTAAAAATTGGAAAATCGACGAAATGGAATCGATTGGCCTGAAAATTTGAAAAATTGAATAAACGAAAAATTGGAAAATCGAAAGAAACAACAAAAATTAAGGAAATGAAAAGACAAAAAATCGTGATATAAAATCGAGAAAATGAAAAATAAAAAATCAGAAAAATGCAAAATAAAAATCGGGGAGTTGAAAAACTGACGGGACGGAAAATTGAAAAACTGCACAATTAAAATCGAGAATGTGAAAAATGGAAAAATGAGAAATTGTAATATTGAAAAATTGGAAAATAAATTTGGAAGTCGACAAATTGTAAATTTGAAAAATCAAAAATAAAAAAACGAAAAAGTGTATAATAAAAACTTAAAAAATGTACAAATTAAACTTGAAAATTTGAAGAAAAATTGCTAAAAACCTGAAAATTTGAAAAATTTAATAAAGGAAAAATTGTAAAATCGAAACAACAAAAAAATAAAGGAAATCAAAAAAAGGAAAATTATGATATAAAATCGAAAAAGTGAAAATTAAAAAATCGGGAAAATGAAAAATAAAAATCGGAAACAAAAAATTGGAAAAGGGAAAAATGAAAAATGGAGAAACTGAAAAATCGAAAAATGAAAATCTGTAATATTGAAAAACTGCCAAATTGAAAAATTGATGCAAACCGAAAAATTGAAGGAACGAAAAATTGAAAATTTTGGAAGTCGAAAAATTACAAAATGAAAACTTGAAAAATCTTAAGAATCGAAAAAGTGAAAAATCAAAAAAAAAGAAATGTATTATGAAATAGAAATCTTTAAAATTAAAGAAATTGGAAAATCGGAAGACTGGAAATCCAAAAACTGCAAAGTGAAAAATTTAAAAATTGAAAAATGGACGAACTGAAAATTCAAAGCCTGAAAATTCGAAAAACTGAAGAAACGAAAAATTGAAAAATCGAAAGAAACAACAAAAAATAAATTAATTGAAAAAATTTGTGACATAAAATCTAGAAAATGAAAATTAAAAAAATCAGGAAAATGAAAAATAAAAATCGAAAACTTGAAAAATTGAGGAAACGAAAAATTGAAAATAACAAAAATTAAAAACTGAGAATGTGAAAAATCGAAAAATGAGAAACTGTAATATCGAAAAATTGCAAAATTGAAAAATTACAAATCGAAAAATTGAGAAATTTAGAAGTCAAGATATTGTAAAATTGAAAAATCAAAAATAAAAAAACGAAAAAGTTTATGATGAAAACTTGAAAAATGTCAAAAGAGGAAATCAAACATGAAAATTTGAAGAAACGAAAATTTGAAAAATCGAAAGACTTAAAATTCGAAAAAGTGAAAAATAAAAAAAAGAAATATCTATGTATTGTAAAATCAAAATATTGAAAATTAAAGAAACTGGAAATCCAAAAACTGCAAAGTGAAAAATTAAAAAAAAAAATGGACGAACTGAAAATTCAAAGTCTGAAAATTTGAAAAATTGTAAAATCGAAAATAAAGGAAATGAAGAAACGGACAATTGTGATATACATCGAGAAAATAAAAATTAAAAATTCGCCACACTGAAAAATAAAAATCGGGAACATGAAAAATTGTGGGAACGAAAAATTGAGAAACTGAAAATTCGAAAAATTGAAGAAACGAAAAATTGAAAAATCGAATCAAACAACAAAAAATAAAGGAATTGAAAAAATGAAAATTTGTGGCATAAAATCGAGAAAATGAAAATTAAAAAAATCGGGAAATCAAGAACTTGAAAAATTGATGAAACGAAAAATTGAAAATGACAAAAATTAAAAACTGAGAATGTGAAAAATCGAAAAATGAGAAACTGTAATATCGAAAAATTGCAAAATTAAAAAATTGCAAATCGAAAAGTTGAAAAAAAATATAAAACTGTCGCAAATTTGAGAAATCTAAAGTTTAACGAAAAATTGGAAACCAAAAAAATAAAAAGAGGTGGAAACCCAAAAATTCCAAACTGAAAAATTTAAAAATTGAAAAATCGACGAAATGGAAATCGATTGGCCTGAAAATTTGAAAAATTGAACAAACGAAAAATTGGAAAATCGAAAGAAACAACAAAAATTAAGGAAATGAAAAGACAAAAAATTGTGATATAAAATCGAGAAAATGAAAAATAAAAAATCAGAAAAATGCAAAATAAAAATCAGGGAGTTGAAAAACTGAGGGGACGGAAAATTGAAAATCGAGAATGTGAAATTGTAATATTGAAAAATTGGAAAATTTGGAAGTCGACAAATTGTAAAATTGAAAAATCAAAAACAAAAAAAACGAAAAAGTGTATAATAAAAACTTAAAAAATGTACAAATTAAAATTGAAAATTAGAAGAAAAATTGCTAAAAACTTGAGAATTTGAAAAATTTAATAAAGGAAAAATTGTAAAATCAAAAGAAACAACAAACAATAAAGGAAATCAAAAAAAGGAAAATTGTGATATAAAATCGAAAAAGTGAAAATTAAAAAATCGGGAAAATGAAAAATAAAAATCGGAAAAAAATTGGAAAAGGGAAAAATGAAAAATTGAGAAACTGAAAAATCGAAAAATGAAAATCTGTAATATTGAAAAATTGATGCAAACCGAAAAATTGAAGGAACGAAAAACTGAAAATTTTGGAAGTCGAAAAATTACAAAATGAAAACTTGAAAAATCTTAAGAATCGAAAAAGTGAAAAATCAAAAAAAAGAAATATGTATTATGAAATAGAGATATTTCAAATTAAAGAAATTGGAAAATCGGAAGACTGGAAATCCAAAAACTGCAAAGTGAAAAATTTAAAAATTGAAAAATGGACGAACTGAAAATTCAAAGCCTGAAAATTTGAAAAATTGAACAAATGAAAAATTGTAAAATCGAAAATAAAGGAAATGAAGAAACGGACAATTGTGATATACATCGAGAAAATAAAAATTAAAAATTCGCCACACTGAAAAATAAAAATCGGAAATATGAAAAATTGTGGGAACGAAAAATTGAGAAACTGACAATTCGAAAAACTGAAGAAACGAAAAATTGAAAAATCGAAAGAAACGACAAAAAATAAAGGAATTGAAAAAATGAAAATTTGTGACATAAAATCGAGAAAATGAAAAATAAAAATCGAGAACTTGAAAAATTGAAGAAACGAAAAATTGAAAATAACAAAAATTAAGAACTGAAAATGTGAAAAACCGAAAAATGAGAAACTGTAATATCAAAAAATTGCAAAATTAAAAAATTGCTAATCGAAAAATGGAAAAATTTAGAAGTCAAGAAACTGTAAAATTGAAAAATCAAAAATAAAAAAACGAAAAAGTTTATGATGAAAACTTGAAAAATCGATACTTTAAATTCGTAAAAGTGAAAAATAAAAAAAAAGAAATATATATGTATTGTAAAATCAAAATATTGAAAATTAAAGAAACTGAAAAATTGGAAGACTAGAAATCCAAAAACTGCAAATTGAAAAATTTTAAACGTGGAAAAACATGGAATTGAAAAATGAAAGCCTGAAAATTTGAAAAATTGAATAAATAAAGAATTGTAAATCGAAAGAAACAACAAAAAAATAAAGGAAATAAAGGAACCAAAAATTGTGTTGTAAAATGAAGAAACGTCGCCAGATGGATCTCTTTACTGCGTTATCAGCAAAAAAATCTCTAAATCGAATCTTACAATTATCTGACAAAACTGAATATGTTTTACCGGATTCAAGAGCGAGGAAAGTGCTGTCTAAATAACTTTAGACCAATTTTTATAATTCAGCAATTTACATTGAGTATCAAAAATAAAACACCGATAGCTTTCGAATAATTTTGAATGTGTTGTGCTGAGTTTTTGGAGAAGATGAAAGAAATTGAGAATAATCCCTTGACGAGACGGTTGATTCTTCTTTTGATTAGCGAATGTGGGAATAGTACGACGCAAGTGGACACTAGTGCCGTTCCTGTACACACTTTGTTGAGTCGTACCGTGAATAGTACTGAGACTCTTGAAACCTCGAGTTCGATTGGGGGTTTTGGGGTGAGGCACCACGAAGACGCGACGAACTCGGACCTTAAAATCGTCGATCCGAGTTTAAGCGAAGACAGTCAAGATGCTAGGGCCTTGCAATTGTTGAATTCCTAGTACACTATAGCTTCGAAGTTCGGGAAGTAGTACCCGGATTTGTAGCCACCTAATGCTCATTATTGCCGATTTTAGTACTGTAAAGAGTGTGAATGTTGTTTGTTTGTCGTGTGATACTAGTTATGTTGTATTTTATTTTATTTAATATTTTTGTATCGATACTTGTTAATTCCTATCATTTTGACGATTCTGTATGTATGTATACACAACCGCTGACCGTGTGTAAATTTTGTAAATAAATTGTTATTTTATAGCACACAGTGTTTTTTTAACGAAGGTCAATAAAAACATTTATTAAAATATAAAATTACACAATCAGCATAAAATTATTACAACCTATAACCTTGTAATTACGTACTTAGACTACGGTTAAATTACAATTAGAATGACTTTACAAGAGTTATCTACAATTCCGTCGTTGTCTCAACAGGCGAGTGATCATACGAGAAACCTAAATGCGAATAGTCTTTCTTTTCTTTGAACATAACGTTCTCGTTGGTCGGGCTTGCATTCATTTCTTCGTCATCTGAAGACCTATAACCCCAAAATTACAAAAAATCAAAACCGTCTATCACTCACCTATTGTGATACATGTGATCACGTCTCAACGAATGCTCGCCACTTTTCAAAATATGGCCATCTCCAACACTGGAGGCTCTCACCGTAGTGGCTGATTCACTACTAACTGGACTTTGTTGTCCTTAAAACCAAAAATCGAAAAATCAAAGTCAAAATCACTTCAAACCTACCGTATTTCTTCAAGTTGTTGTCTTTACTTATATAACTAACATTGTCTAAGCTAAAAGCGTGATTCTTATTGCTGAAGTCTAAATGGAGATCATTGTAGTCGTCCTGTTCGTCCACAGGAACACACATTTGTAAAACTTGCGTTTCGTATTCTTTCAAATTCGGCTCAACGTAGACGGTGTCGTACCGCGCGGGACTGGCCGGTACTACGTACTGTCTTTGCATCTGGTCTTTGTACGACTTGTACTTGGACCAAGACACACAAATGTAGATAATTCCGACTATGCCTAAAACGAAGATGATGCAAGCTATAATTATCAAAGCGTAGGGGAAAACTTCGCCGTTGAACGACGAAATGGAAGCCGTTTTGACTTTGTGTAGAACTATAGGTTCGTGGATATTGAAAGCGGTGTTTTGAATTTGTCCTGTGATGTCAAAAGTGATATTATCCATTGCTGCTTTATCAAAAATGGATCTCTTCACGGTGGTACTATTTCTGGATAAAATAGCGTCCGTTTCTGGATCTATTACGTAAAACCAAACATCAGTGCCAGCTGGGTCAGTCTCCAAGGTACCATTCCCACCGATAAACTCCCTAGTTGCTAATTTTTCCACACCCACTATCAATCCAGACTGCTCTTGAATGATATCAGTTATCAAATTGATTTTCTTTTGAACCACGTCGGGTTTAGCATCTCCTATCACCAAAACGATTCGATTGTCTTTAGTTATCAAATTGATAACCACAGGAGCTTCAATTTCGTTGTAGTCTTTCGTTGCGTTAGGGTTATCTCTGGTTTTGACAGTCAGTTTGAAAGGTAACTGTGTGTCGTCAATGTCCTCGAATGTCTTCTTCGTTTTGATAATACCGGACGCGTGATCAATGGCAAAACACTCGTTTTTGTCACCCACTAAAGAGTAGTTGAGCTTGCCGTATTTACCACTGTCTTTATCATCCGCTTTGATTTGAATCACGGTGGTTGATAGAGGCGAGTTTGCGGTAATAGCGGCGTAGTACTTCTTGGTACTGGCGACGGGGAAAATAAAGTAAGGGATGTTGTCGTTGATGTCGACGATATTGATAGTCACTTGAGTGATACTAAATTCCTTGTTGATGAAACCCTGTAGCGACATTATTTGGACTTCGATTTGATACGACTCGTCGGTTTCAAAGTCGACAGTACCGTTAAGATAGAGGGCGCAGTTGCGGTCTTCAGTCACGTTGACGACGAATTTTCCTGAAACGACAATACAGGATACAGTGTTAGTTAGAGTTTGATAAGTTAAAGTCTCACCTTCGTTGTTTCCTGATATTATTAGACACTTGAGAGGGATGTTTCCTCCGTGCGTTTTACTATTGACGATGGTTAAGGTTTTGATTTTGTAACCCGAGGTGGCGTTTTCGGGTACTTGTATGTTGTATGACGTATCAGCGAAGCGTAGCCCGACTTCCGGAGCCACGGTTGCTACATGCTGTATATAAATGTCGAGAGTGATGACTGATGATAATTGGGGTTCCCCGAGATCGTAGGCGCGCACGTCCACCTGAAACCGCCATCAGTTTCTGTGGTAGACAAAATGATAGTAGTACCTGGTATTCCGTGTCGATTTCCTTCTTCAAGTCGTTCGTTACTCGTAAAACCCCTGAGTCCGGATCGATTTGGAAGTACTTGGTGGATTTGCCGCGTCCGATGATTTCGTAGCGGACTTTGTTACCAGGAGCGGTACCATCGGAGTCCGTCGCAACCAAATTAGTGACCGGGGTACCAATTGATACGTCGTCGTCTAACGTTATCGGGTGAGGGATGATAGTAAAGACGGGAGGAATGTCGTTGCGGTCTTCCACGTTGATGATGACCTTCGTGGTACTGCCGTCTTTATTCGACATGTTTTCTAGAGTACCGATTGTGAGTACGTGTTGGCTATCTTTTTCGAAGTCGAGTCCGCGGATGGTGTAGACGGCACCGCTGTTTTCGTCGATCCGGAACAAGTCGGTGGGACCTTGGTGGATCACGTAGGTGATTTTTTTGATAGTGTCGGGGTCTTCAGCCTGAAATTTTTTGTAAAACGAGAGAGTCGGGATTAATGATTGTAGTACCTTAACGTCTGTGACGAAATAATCGGGGACATTCTCCGGGACACTTATTTCGTACGTCGCCCTACTAAACACAGGAAGTTCGTCTTCCACGTCAATCACGGCTACAGAAACCGTCGCTGTGGCTATTCTTGGATCTGGAGCTCCGTCTTTCGCCGTAACCACAAACTGGTAGTTCTGCAATCACGGTAATTACAACCGTAAACCTATTCCTACACTTCCGTTACCTTCTGGGTTTCGTAATCCAAAGCCCGACTGGTACTAATTTCCCCCGTTTCGTTGTCTATGACGAATGGTAAACCAGTGGGTATGGAATACGTAATGAGCGCATTAATGCCTTCGTCGGCGTCAGTCGCCTTAACAAAACCCACGGAAGTTTTGTTCAGGCCTTCCTTCACCATGAAATTATACGGATCTCCTACGAATTCCGGATTTTTGTCGTTGATGTCGGTTACTTTTATATTTACGGTTGCCGTTGACGACAACTTGCCGGCATCTTCAGCTTTTATTATCTGAAAACGAGATATCATTGTCAAGGAACTGGTTTTAGCAACGATGATAGTGCGTATTGTTGGCTGGTTCGAAAAAATCGAGACAGGCGGAAGAGGTAAATTCTACAATGGTGTCTCGGTGCATTTTGTATTGTAATGAAAATTGGTCTGGACCACTGGAAGAGGGTGGAGTGTTCAACTTTAAATTTCGTAAATCGAAAAATTCAAATATAGAAGAACTGAAAACTTAAAATATCGAAAAGTTAAAAGATTGTGAAAACCGAAAGTTCAAAAAATGAAAAATTGAAAATCCAAGAACTAAAAAGTCGAGAAATCGAAAAATCCAGAACAGAAAAATCCAAAAGTCGAAATACTAAAAAATCCCAAACTTAAAAAATTGAAGAATCGAAAATCTGAGAAAACTCAAAAATTGAACGAAATACCCAAAAATTGGGGAATTAAAAAATTGAAAAATTGGGAATACCTATATATATATTTTTTATTTTAGCGTTTTTCGAATTCGCAGTTTCGATTTTCATTTTGCATTTTTCTGATTTTTTATTTTTCATTTTCTCGATTTTATATCACAATTTTTTGTCTTTTCATTTTCTTAATTTTTGTTTTCTTTCGATTTTCCAATTTTTCAAATTTTCAGGCCAATCGATTTCCATTTCGTCGATTTTCCAGTTTTTAAATTTTTCAGTTTGCAGTTTTTGGGTTTCCACCCCTTTTTTATTTTTTGGATTTTCAATTTTTCGTTAAACTTTAGATTTCTCAAATTTTCGACAGTTTTATATTTCGATTTGTTAATTTTTTTTTCAACTTTTCGATGTTTTAATTTTTCTTTTTTAAAATTTTTCAATTTTTTTTTATTTCTCGATTTATCAATTTCTCAATTTTTTTCTATTTCTTGATGTTTCGATTCTTGGATTTCTCGCTTTTTCGATTTTCCAATTTTTCGATGTTTCGATTTTTCAGTTATCCGATTTTTCAATTTTTTTTAATTCTGGAGTTTCGATTTGTCGATTTTTCAGTTTTTCGATTTTTAAGTTTTAGATTTTCGAATTTTTCTTTTTTGATTCTTTGATGTTAGGATTTCTCCATTTTTCAGTTTTGCGAAATTTCAATTGTTCAATATTTTAAATTATAGATTTTTCGATTTCCGGATTTTTTGATTTTCCAGTTCTTCAGTATTTCTATTTTACAATTTTTCAAATTTTGACGTTGCTAAATTTTCAGTTTTCCGATTTTTCGATTAATACCTATGTATATATTTTTTATTTTACCGTTTTTCGAATTCGCAGTTTCGATTTTTCAGTTCTTCAATTCTTCAGTTTTTCGTTTTTTAAACTTTAGATTTCTCAATTTTCGACTGTTTTATATACATTTCGATTTGTGAATTCTCGATTGATCGAGATTCGGATGTTTCGATGTTTTGATTGCTCAGTTTTTGAATTTTTCGATGTTTCGATTTATCGGTTTTTCGTTTTTTGACTTTTCGGCTTTTCGATTTTTGAATTTTTTGATTTTTCAATTTTCCAATTTTTTAAATTTTCAAGTTTTGACGTTTCTGAATTTTCAGTTTTTCGATTTCTCAATTAATTTTTTTTTTGGTTTTCCCATTTTCGATTTGCGAAGGTTTCGATTTTTCAGTTTTTCAGTTCCTCAATTTTTAGATTTTTCAGGCTCCAGATTTTTCAGTTTTTCAGGCTTTGAATTTTCAGTTCGTCCATTTTTCAATTTTTAAATTTTTCACTTTGCAGTTTTTGGATTTCCAGTCTTCCGATTTTCCAATTTCTTTAATTTTAAATGTTTCTATTTCATAATACATATTTCTTTTTTTTTTTGATTTTTCACTTTTTCGATTCTAAAGATTTTTCAAGTTTTCATTTTGTAATTTTTCGACTTCCAAAATTTTCAATTTTTCGTTCCTTCAATTTTTCGTTCCTTCAATTTTTCGATTTGCATCAATTTTTCGATTTGCATCAATTTTTCAATTTGGCAATTTTTCAATATTACAGATTTTCATTTTCCGATTTTTCAGTTTCTCAATTTTTTTAGTTTTTAGCAATTTTTCTTCAAATTTTCAAGTTTAATTTCTACATTTTTTAAGTTTTTATTATACAGTTTTTCGTTTTTTTATTTTTGATTTTTCAATTTTACAATTTGTCGACTTCCAAATTTTCCAATTTTTCAATATTACAATTTCTCATTTTTCCATTTTTCACATTCTCGATTTTTAATTGTGCCCTTTTTCAATTTTCCGTCCCCTCAGTTTTTCAACTCCCCGATTTTTATTTTGCATTTTTCTGATTTTCTATTTTTCATTTTCTCGATTTTATGTCACAATTTTTTGTCTTTTCATTTCTTTAATTTTTGTTGTTTCTTTCGATTTTCCAATTTTTCGTTTATCAATTTTTCAAAATTTCAGGCCAATCGATTTCCATTTCGTCGATTTTCCAATTTTTAAATTTTTCAGTTTGCAATTTTTGGGTTTCCACCCCTTTTTTATTTTTTGGATTTTCAATTTTTCGTTAAACTTTAGATTTCTCAAATTTTCGACAGTTTTATATTCCGATTTCTTAATTTTTTTTTCAACTTTTCGATGTTTTAATTTGTTTTTTTTTAATTTTTCAATTTTTTTATTTCTCGATTTATAGAATTCAGATGTTTGGATGTTTCCATTCCTCAGTTTCTCAGTTTATCAATTTCTCAATTTTTTCCTCTTTCTTGATGTTTCGATTTTTGGATTTCTCGCTGAAAATTTGAAAAATTGATAAACGAAAAATTGTAAAATCGAAAGAAGCAGCAAAAATTAAGGAAATGAAAAGACAAAAAATTGTGATATAAAATCGAGAAAATGAAAAATAAAAAATCAGAAAAATGCAAAATAAAAATCGGGGAGTTGAAAAACTGAGGGGAGGGAAAATTGAAAATCGAGAATGTGAAAAATGAGAAATTGTAATATTGAAAAATTGGAAAATTTGGAAGTCGACAAATTGTAAAATTGAAAAATCAAAAATAAAAAACGAAAAAGTGTGTAATAAAAACTTAAAAAATGTACAAAGTGAAAATCAAATTTGAAAATTTGAAGAAAAATTGCTAAAAACCTGAAAATTTGAAAAATTTAATAAAGGAAAAATTGTAAAATCGAAAGAAACAACAAAAAATATAGGGAATCAAAAAAAAAGGAAAATTGTGATATAAAATCGAAAAACCGAAAATTAAAAAATCGGGAAATTGAAAAATAAAAATCGGAAACAAAAAATTGGAAAAAGAGCAAAATGAAAAATTGAGAAACTGAAAAATCGAAAAATGAAAATCTGTAATATTGAAAAATTGCCAAATTGAAAAATTGATGCAAACCGAAAAATTGAAGGAACGAAAAATTGAAAATTTTGGAAGACGAAAAATTACAAAATGAAAACTTGAAAAATCTTAAGAATCGAAAAAGTGAAAAATCAAAAAAAAAGAAATGAAAAAAGTTGGAAAATCGGAAGACTGGAAATCCAAAAACTGCAAAGTGAAAAATTTAAAAATTGAAAAATGGACGAACTGAAAATTCAAAGCCTGAAAATTTGAAAAATTGAACAAATGAAAAATTGTAAAATCGAAAATAAAGGAAATGAAGAAACGGACAATTGTGACATACATCGAGAAAACAAAAATTAAAAATTCGCCACACTGAAAAATAAAAATCGGGAACATGAAAAATTGTGGGAACGAAAAATTGAGAAACTGAAAATTCAAAAAATAGAAGAAACTGAAAATTGAAAAATCGAAAGAAACAACAAAAAATAAAAGAATTGAAAAAATGAAAATTTGTAACATAAAATCGAGAAAATGAAAATTAAAAAAATCAGGAAAATGAAAAACAAAAATCGAAAAATCGAAAAATTGAGGAACTGAAAAACTGAAAAATCGAAACCTTCGTAAATCGAAAATGGGAAAACCAAAAAAAAATTAATTGAGAAATCGGAAAACTGCAAATTCAGAAACGTCAAAACTTGAAAATTTAAAAAATTGGAAAATTGAAAAATCGGAAAATTCAAAAATCGAAAAGCCGAAAAGTAAAAAAACGAAAAACCGATAAATCGAAAAATCGAAAAATTCAAAAATTGAGCAATCAAAACATCGAAATATCCGAATCTCGATCAATCGAGTTCTCAAAAAATTGAAAACTCGAAAAATTCACAAATATAAAACAGTCGAAAATTGAGAAATCTAAAGTTTAATAAACGAAAAACTGAAGAATTGAAGAACTGGAAAATCGAAACTGCGAATTCGAAAAACGGTAAAATAAAATATATATATATATAGGTATTAATCGAAAAATCGGAAAACTGAAAATTTAGCAACGTCAAAATTTGAAAAATTGTAAAATAGAAGTACCGAAGAACTGGAAAATCAAAAAATCCGGAAATCGAAAAATCTAAAATTTAAAATATTGAACAAATGAAATATCGCAAAATTGAAAAATGGGGAAATCCAAACATCAAAGAATCAAAAAAGAAAAATTCGAAAATCTAAAACTTAAAAATCGAAAAACTGAAAAATCCACAAATCGAAACTCCAGAATTTAAAAAAATTGAAAAATCGGATAACTAAAAAATCGAAACATCGAAAAATTGGAAAATCGAAAAAGCGAGAAATCCAAACATCGAAACATCAAGAAATAGAAAAAAATTGAGAAATTGATAAATTGAGAAACTGAGCAATGAAAACATCCAAAGATCTGAATTCTATAAATCGAGAAATAAAAAAAATTGAAAAATTTTAAAAAAGAAAAATTAAAACATCGAAAAATTGAAAAAAAAATTAACAAATCGACATATAAAACTGTCGAAAATTTGAGAAATCTAAAGTTTAACGAAAAATTGAAAATCCAAAAAATAAAAAAGGGGTGGAAAGCCAAAAACTGCAAACTGAAAAATTTAAAATTTGGAAAATCGACGAAATGGAATCGATTGGCCTGAAATTTTGAAAAATTGAATAAACGAAAAATTGGAAAATCGAAAGAACAAAAATTAAGGAAATGAAAAGACAAAAAATTGTGATATAAAATCGAGAAAATTAAAATAAAAAATCAGAAAAATGCAAAATAAAAATCGGGGAGTTGAAAAACTGAGGGGACGGAAAATTGAAAAAGGGCACAATTAAAAATCGAGATGTGGAAAATGGAAAAATGAGAAATTGTAATATTGAAAAATTGGAAAATCGAAAGAGACAACAAAAAATAAAGGAAATCAAAAAAAGGAAAATTGTGATATAAAATCGAAAAATTGCCAAATTGAAAAATTGATGCAAACCGAAAAATTTAAGGAGCGAAAAATTGAAAATTTTGGAAGTCGAAAAATTACAAAATGAAAACTTGAAAAATCTTAAGAATCGAAAAAGTGATAAATCAAAAAAAAAAAAGAAATATGTATTATGAAATAGAAATATTTAAAATTAAAGAAATTGGAAAATCGGAAGACTGGAAATCCAAAAACCGCAAAGTGAAAAATTTAAAAATTGAAAAATGGACGAACTGAAAATTAAAAAAAAAATTTGTAACATAAAATCGAGAAAATGAAAATTAAAAAAATCAGGAAAATGAAAAATAGAAATCGAAAACTTGAAAAATTGAAAATAACAAAAATTAAAAACTGAGAATGTGAAAAATCGAAAAATGAGAAACTGTAATATCGAAAAATTGCAAAATTAAAAATAAAAAAACGAAAAAGTTTATGATGAAAACTTGAAAAATGTCAAAAGAGAAAATCAAACATGATAATTTGAAGAAACGAAAATTTGAAAAATCGAAAGACTTAAAATTCGAAAAAGTGAAAAATAAAAAAAAGAAATATCTATGTATTGTAAAATCAAAATAATGAAAATTAAAGAAACTGATAAATTGGAAGACTGGAAATCCAAAAACTGCAACTCATTTTTGCATGTTTTTACTTTTTTTTTTACACAGAAAACAGAACTGAAAATCAAATTTTAATATCAGAGGGACAAAATATGTCTAATAAGGATTGTTAAGAAAAAAAACTATCGTCCTAAGTTAATTTCTCTCGTTTTTACAGGATGAAAACTGTCCCAAAGCAGGCCGAGTGATGCCGCCTTAGGAGGATAAATAATGGTACTTGGATGGTACTTTTGGTTCGCTTTACGTTGCTCTGGGTTAGTCTAGTTTAATGTAGTACTTGGGTGGTACCCCAAATTTTGATTCGCAAGTACTTGAACCTTGAAGATCCTTCTAGTTTTTTTTTTTTTATTGAAAAAACCATATCTTTTCCAAAATAACGGACACATCTAATAAAGTGATCTTTGCATGGGCAATCAAGCGAAGAAGTGTTATTAGGTGAACCACCTAGCACCATTCTTACCAAAAACATTGACAAATCGTCAAGTCAAGTGGAAAAATTCTTACCAGTTTGTAGCGAGTGAGATCCTCCCTATCCAACTTTCTAATAACGGTGATAATCCCTGACCTGGAACCTATAGCAAATTGTCTTAGATCGTTACCGGAGACGATGGAGTACGACACCGGATCATTCTCTGGATCCATCGCCTGGAAGAACAAACCTTCAAATTAACCCTTCTAAAACGCGCACGCTGAAGGTCGTACCGTGATCGTAGCAACCGTGGAATTGATGGTCGCCCCTTCGCTGACTTCTATATCGTAAATGGACTGCTCGAAAATGGGGCTCTGGGTGTTGGGTCCTGGACTAATCGTCACTTCCACGATAGCTTGACTGTACAGTCCCCCTTTATCGGTAGCTTGTACCGTCAAGCTATATTGGTCTCCCGCGTTCAGTTTCCCCACGGTATTCAACTCCCCGGTGGTCGGATCAATGGTAAACTTATTATTCCCATTATTCGACACGTGATAAATGGAATAAGTTACCACCGCGTTATCACCTTCATCGTTATCGGTGGCTTTGATCCTCGTGACTTTCCGGCTAACATCGCCCGCTGGTACCGACACAGGCGGGATTATGGGCAACATGGGGGCGTTATCATTCACATCGTTTAAATGCACTGTCACAGAAGTGGGAGCGCTGGCGGCCACGCTGCTTTTTTCTCTTGCAACTATCTGGAACTTGAATCTGCCAGGGTTGGGAGGGTCTCGGTCTAGGTTGTTTTCGTTGACTAGAAGATGACCGTTTTTGTCGATAGTGAAGAAGGGCGTGGTTAGCTCGAAGGTGTAGGTGGGTTTAGGGTCAGAAGGGCCCTGAAACGGATTTAGTGTAACTGGGTTTTTAAATCAAAGCGAGTCCTTACGAAGTCTTTGTCGATGACGGTGACGGTTAAAGGGTTGTTGTTGGAGTCGAGGACCTTTTCGCCGATGGGGGAGTTTTCGTTGACGTAACCTTCAAGGGATGATAGTTGGATTTCGGGGGGGTTGGCGTCGACGGGTTTCACGGTTATGAAGAGTTTAGCGGTGGTGGAGCGTTTGGCTTCTGAGATTTCTTGGGCCTGGAAGGTATGACATTTTGATACAAAATCAATTTTGGGCTTTTTTAATTTTTTCATTCTTGTCTCAATTTTTTATTATATCTTTCAATGATACGATTTCACAACTTTTGTCCTCTTCAATTTTACGATTTTTCAATTTTTCAAATTTTGACGTTTCTAAATTTTCAGGTTTTTGATTTTTCAATTTTTCGATTTTTTAAGCTTATGCAAAATTAAAAAATTAATTGGAAAATCGAAAATTCAAAAATTCCGAAAATTGAAAAATTGAACTATACATAGAAGAACTGAAAACTCAAGAAATCGAAAAAACTCAAATTTTAAAAATTGAAAAGTTAAAATATCGTAAAGTGAAAAATTGAAAAATCGAAGTATAAAAGAACGAAAAATTGAAAATCCAAAAATAAAAAAATCGATTTCTCGAAAAATTCAGAACTCAAAAAATCGAAAAGTCAAAATACTAAAATATCCCAAAACTGAAATGTCGAAAAACTGAAAAATAGAAGAAAAATTGAAGAATCGAGAACGAAATATCCAAAAATTGGAAAATTAAAATTTTGAAAAATCGAAACTTTGGGAAGTCGGGAAATGGGAAAATAAAAAAATAGATTCATTGAGAAATTGAAAAACTGAAAATTCAGGAACGTCAAATTTTGAAAAATTAAAAAATATTGAAGAAATGAGAAATCGAAAAATCTAAAATTTAAAACATTGAAAAATTAAAATATCGTAAACTTGAAAAACGGAGAAATCCAAACATCAAAAAATTAAAAACAAAAATTCGAAAATCAAACATTCAAAAATCGAAAAGTCAAAACGAAAAACCGATAAAAAAAATTAAAATATAGTAAAATTGAAAAATGGAGAAATCCAAACCTCAAAAAATCAAAAATTTAAAAATTCGAAAATTCAAAATTTAAAAAATCGAAAAATTGAAATTCGCATAATTGCAGATTCGAAAATATGAAAAATCTAGAAATTGAAGAAAATCCAAAAATCTAATAATTGAGAAATCGAAATATGTTAAAATTGAAAAATCGGAGAGTTAAAAGTTTAAAAATCAAAAGAAAACGATAAATCGAAAAATTGAAAAACTGAAAATTCGTAAAATTGAAAAATAGAAAAAAATTGAACGAAATATCCAAAAATTGGAAAATTAAAAAATTGAAAAATTGGGAAATTGGAAAGTAAAAAGACAAAGTCGAAAAATTGCAAACTTAAAAAATAAAAAAATTGAAAAATAAAACTGAAGAACTGAAAAATTCAGAAACGTCGAAACTTGGCAAATTAAAAAATATTGAAGAAATGAAAAATCGAAAATTGAAAAATGGAGAAACCCAAACAGCAAAATATCAAAAAAATAAAAATTCGAAAATCTAAAATTTAAAAATCGAAAAGTCAAAACGAAAAACCTAGAAATCCAAAATCCAAAATTTTAAAAATCGAAAAATTGAAGATTAGAAAATCTGAAAAATCTAAGCATTAAAAAACTGAAAAATCAAAAATTTAAAAGTGTGAAAAATTGAAAAATACAGATTACAAAAAACTGAAAAATCGAGAAATCGAAAAATATCAAATTTAAACATTAAAAAATCGAAAATTGATAAATTTAAAATTTAAAAATCGAGAAATCGAAAAACGAAGAATCTAAGAAGTCGAAAAATTAAAAAATCAAAAAACTGAAAAATCGAAACATCGAAAAATTCAAAGATCTAAAACCGAGAAGTCGAAAACTCGGGAGATCGAGAAATCCAAACATCAATAAATTGAAAAACTTAAAATTTAAAAATTCAAAAACTGGAAAAATAAAAATACCAAAGAACTAAAAACATCAAGACATCGGAGAAAAATCTAAAATTTAAAAAATTTTAAAATCCAAATATCGAAAAATTGGAAATCAAAAAAAAATTGAAAGATTTAATTCAAAAATTAAAAAAGCGAGAAACTGAATAATAGGAAAACTGATAACTGAAAAATTGCAAATCGAAAAATTGAAAAATTTTTAATAAAAAATGAGAACTCGAAGATTTGGATATCAAAAATTGCTAGAACAAAAAATGAAAAATTAAAAAAAAAATGATACCTACTGAAAATCGAAACATTGTAAGAAAGAAAATAAAAAACCGAAACGAAAAGTTGAAATATTGTAATTTGAACAATTTAAAATTAAACAAAAAAAAAACGAAAAATCGAAAAACTGAAAAACCTAAAATTTAAGAATTCAAAAAATTGAATAACAGAAATATCAAGGAACTAAAAAATTAAGAAATCGAAGAAAAACATAAACTTATATATATTATAAAATATCGAAAAATTGGAAATCTAGAAGGAAATTAAAAAGAATCAAAATTCTAAAATGTAAAATCGAGAAACTGAAAAATGTACAATTGAAAAAATGAAAAATTAAAAAATCGAGAAATTGAAAAATCGAAAAATTGATAACTGAGGGAAACTAAAAAATTGAAAAATTTGAGAAATCGAAAAGTCAAAAAAGCAGAGTCGAAAAATTGAAAAATCAAAAACCTAAAAAATCGAAACTTTGGGAAGTCGGAAAATGGGAAAATAAAAAAATTGATTCATTGAGAAATTGGAAAACTGAAAATTCAGAAACGTCAAAATTTGAAAAAGTAAAAAATACTGAAGAAATGAAAAATCGAATATCGTACAATTGAAAAATGGAGAAATCCAAACATGAAAAAATAAAAAAAATAAAAATTCGAAAATCAAAAATCGAAAAGTCAAAACGAAAAACCTAGGAATGCAAAATCGAAAGCTCGGGAGATCGAGAAATCCAAACATCAATAAATTGAAAAACTTAAAATTTAAAGTAAAAATATCAAAGAACTAAAAAAATCAAGACATCGGAGAAAAATCTAAAATTTAAAAAATTTTAAAATCAAAATATCAAAAAATTGGAAATCGAGGAAAAAAATTAAAAAAGCGAGAAACTGAAAAATCGGAAAACTGAAAACTGAAATATTGCAAATCGAAAAATTGAAGTAATGAAAAATTTAACAATTTTTAATAAAAAATGAAAACTCGAAGAGTTGTATGTCAAAAATTGATGGAACAAAAAAATTAAAAATTAAAAATTAAAAAAATTGATACCTACTGAAAAATCGAAAAATTGTAAAAATAAAGAAAATAAAAAACCGAAACGAAAAGTTGAAATATTGTAATTTGAAAAATTTAAAATTAAACAAAAAAAATTAAAAATCGAAAAATTGAAAAACTGAAAAACCTAAAATTTAAAAATTCAAAAAATTGAATAACAGAAATATCAAGGAACTAAAAAATTAAGAAATCGGAGAAAAACATAAATTTAAGGAATTTTAAAATCAAAAAATTGAAAAATTGATATTCGCAAAATTGAAAATCCAAAAATCTAAAATTTCAGAATTCGAAAACTCTAAAATCGAGAAGTCGAAAAATCGAGAGATCGAGAAAAAATCCATACTTTCAAAGTTTGAAAAATTGAAAAATTCAGATTTCAAAGAACTGAAATGTCGAAACTTTGAAAAATGAAAAAATGAAAATCAAAGAATCGAAAATTGATAAATCTAAAATTTAAATATCGAGCAATCGAAAAATCCGAAAAATTAGAATTTAAGAAATCGAAGAATTAAAAAATCAAAAAGCTGAAAAATCGAAATATCAATAAATTGAAAAACTTAAAATTTAAAAATTCCAAAAATTGAAAAGTAGAAATAGTTCTTAGACTAAAAAATCGGAGAAAATTTAAAATTTTAAAAATTTTAAAATCAAAATATCGAAAAATTGGAAATCGAGGAAAAAATTGAAAGATTCGATTCAAAAATTAAAAAAGTGAGAACTTGAAAAATCGAAAAATTGAAACTGAAAAATTGCAAATCCAAAAATTTAAGAAATGAAACATTGCGAAACGAAAAATTGAAGAAATGGAAAATTGAAAAACGTAATACTAAAAAATTAAAAATTGAAAACTTGTGAAATTGCAAATCAAAAAATTGCAAAATCTAACAACTGAAACATTGTTAATTAAAAAATGAAAACTCGAAGAGTTGTATGTCAAAAATTGATGGAACAAAAAAATGAAAAATTGAAAAAAATTTATACTGAAAAATGGAAAAATTGTAAAAATACAGAAAATAAAAAGCCGAAACGAAAAGTTGAAAAATTATAATTTGGAAAATTTAAAACAAAAAATTGAAAAATCGAAAACTGAAAATCGAAAAATCAGGAGATCGAGAACTTAAAAAATGGAATAATTGAAAAATCAAAAACATAAAAATTTGAAAAATTAAACAACATTGAAAAAATGAAAAATCGAAAAATCTAAAATTTAAAACCTTGAAAAATTAAAATATCGTAAATTAACCATTTTCCGCCGAAATTCTGAACGCTTAGAGTCGACATTGGCCTGAGCGGACTCCGGTCTGTGGCTCAACCAAGTTCTCAGACTTCGTGCTATGAAAACTACTTAATAAAACTTCCGCTTTCGCAATCGAACAAGAAAATTCTTCCTCCGTCCCAAACATGAATGTGTACCTACAACTGCAACACGAACCTCCTGACCCAGTTCTCGCCCCAATAAAAACATTGTAATTGGTGGAAATTACACGTAACTAGCGCACCCTATCGTGAATATAAAAACGCAAATATTGACTGTTTAGCATAAATTAAAAAAGGCAATTAAGATCTATCTGGCCGTTAATACATGGCCAAGCGATTCGACATGTTGCGTAAGCGATTTCACGCAACGCCGCCACGCAAAGCCCTCTTACCTTGATGATAATGTTGAACATTTTGGTGGTGGACGTATCGACGGCTTTAATTTGACGCACTGCCCCCGTTTCAGGGTCGACTTTGAAGTAGTCCGCATAGGAATTCGGGGTTCCGCTAACGAACGAGTAGTGGATTGGGGAATTTATTGTGTCCATGTCGACGGCTTGGATTTTTTCTGGCGATATGTTTAAAATTCCGTGCAGCACACCGCTCGATACCTGTATCGCATAATGAAAATTACTTTTTTAATTATCACGAATTAAATGCTGAAATTGCTACGACATAGCAAAACTTATTTTTCAGTTCAACGGACAATTTTTTCTTTTATTGGAAAATTGGGTAAGTACCGAGGCTGAGTATTCGGGGTTGATGCAGGTTCCATCGAGGAGCATGCAGCCTTTGTAGATGAAAGAAGGGTTCTGGTCGTCGTCGTCTTTGATGTTTACTACCAAGGTTGTGGTTGATGATAACCTCTGGGTTTCGTCGTGGGCACGGTCCTGGAAAGAGAATTTTTATCTGATTAGGGGCGTCAAAGACGGGGGAATTTCGATATGAATATTAATTTTTTAAAGGCATGAATCTGATAATGGAGAAATTATTCGTGGGATTGAAACAGTGTTACTTAAAACTCGAAAATTCCATATAAATGAAGTGAATCGAGTAAAGGATTAGCAAATATTATTTCGGTTTCATAAAATAAGACACTCCTTCACATGTGGTTTATGAATCCGTGTTCGGTTTTTGCTCTAGACATCCAGATTTTTGAAAAAAAAATCAAAAGTGAGTCAAAAAATAAATCAGGCAATTTTTTCGTTTTCACCAGTTTTGTTTTTTAATTTTCTTTCATTTTTCAATTATTTCGTTTGCTTCCTCAGTTTTTCAAGTTCTTGATTTTATTTTCTCATTTATTTTTTCAATATTTTTTTCGATTTTGCAGCTTCTGGATTTTTCAACATTTCCGATTTTCCAATTTATTTTATTTTCAATATTTTTGGATTTTTATGTTTCTCATTTGTTAATCTTTCGATGTTTCAATTTTTCGTTTCTTCAATTGTCCTTTTTCTTCTTTTTATCCAATTTTTAGATTTTTCAAAGCTTTCATTTTATATTTTTTCTATTTTTCATTTGTAATTTTTCTCAATTTTACAATTTCGCGAGTTTTTTTCATTCTAAAAGTTGAAAAATCGAGACATTGGAAAGGAGAAAAATTAAAAATCAAAAAAGCGGAAAATCGAAATTCTTAATTTTTATTGTCCATTTTTCCAATTTTTTAATTTATTTGTTTCGCTTAATTTTATAATGTTTCTTTCGATTTTATAATTTTCCGTTTATTCAAATTTTCAATCTCTCATTTTTCAATTCCTTGGTTTTGCAATCTTTACATTTTTCAGATTTGCAATTTTTGGATCTTTCAATTTTCCGATTTTCTCAATTCTTTGATTTTCAGTATTTCGATTTTGCACTTTTCCAATTTTTAGATTTCTCAATTTTTAATGGTTCGATTTTTCAATTTTTTGTTTCATCAATGTTTCTTTTTTTTTCCTGATTTCCAATTTTTAGTTTTTTCAAGGCTTTTATTTTTATACTCCATTTGTTATTTTCCAATTTTGCAATTTTTCCGTTTTTTTTTAATTCCAAAAGTTGAAAAATCGATAGATTGAAAAAGGTAAAAAATAAAAATCGAAAAACTAAAAAATCGCAAAAAATGAAAAATTGAAAATCTGAAAATTGAAAAAAGTGAAAAGAGAAATCTAAATAATGAAAATCGGAAAGTCGAAAAATCGAAAAACCGGGGTTTAAAAATAAAAAATTTAAAAAATCCAGGAATTGAAAAATTTAAAAATCCGAACATCGAAAATTTGGAAAATCGAAAAACAAAAAATGAGAATTCGAAATAAGCCAAAATCGAAAAATCGGAAAGTTAAACATTGAAAATTTTTGAATAAAAACAAACTTGATCGAAAAATCTAAAAATTGAAAAATCCAAAAATCCGAAAAATCGAAAGATCGAGAAAAAACTGGAAAATATAAAATTTAAAAATTTGAAAAATTGAGAAACAGAGATATCAAAAAACTGAAAAATCAAAAAATTCGAAAATAGAGAATTCAAAAAATTTTAAAAATTGAAAAATTCCAAAACCGATTGACCAAAAAAAGCAAAAGATGAAAGAAAAATTGAAGAATCGGAAACCTGAAAATTCTCAAAACTGAAACATTGAAAAATTGAAGTGGAAAAATCGAAAAGTCGAAAGATTTTAAAAATCGAAAAGCCGAAATGTCAAGAAATCGTAAATTCGAAAAATGTAGAATTTAAGAAGTCGAAAAATTGAGAAACTGAAATGGGCTAAATTTGAAAAATCGAAAAATTTAAAAATCAAAAAACTGAAAAATTAAACTATCGTAAAATTTGAAAATTAAAAAATCGAAAAATTGTGAAATCAAAATAGGCCAAAATCGGAAAATTGGAAAGTTCAAAATTGAAAAAATTCCGAATTTGTTGATTTTCTTAATTGTAATTGAAAAATCGAAAAATCGAAAACCGATAAGTCCAAAAATCAAACATCAAAAAACTGAAAAATCTAGAATTTAAAAAGTTTGAAAAATTGAAAAATAGAGACACCAAAGAACTGAAAAATCGGAAAATCGAGATATCGAAAAATCGAAAAATTGAAATGTGGAAGAAAAATTGAAGAAATTTGAAAAACCGCAACACTGAAACCTCGTGAAACTGAAGTCGAAAAATCGGAAAGTCAAAAAATTTAAAAAGTCGTAAAACCAAAACAAAGTTGATCGAAAAATCTAAAAATTGAAAAATCCAAAAATCCGAAAAATCGAAAGATCGAGAAAAATCTGGAAAATATAAAATGTAAAAATTTGAAAAACTGAAAAATCAAAAAATCCGGAAATCCAGAATTCAAAAAATTTTCAAAATTGAAAAATTCCAAAACCTATGTACCAATTGATTGATTGACCAAAAAAATTAAAGATGAAAGAAAAATTGAAGAATCGGAAACCTGAAAACCTCAAAACTGAAACATTGAAAAATTGAAGTGGAAAAATCGAAAAGTCGAAAAATTTTAAAAATCCAAAAACCGAAATGTCAAGAAATCGTAAATTCGAAAAATGTAGAACTTAAGAAGTCGAAAAATTGAGAAACTGAAATGGGCTAAATTCGAAAAATCGAAAAGTTAAAAATTTAAAAATAATCGAAAAATCGAAAACTGAGAAATCGAAAATTCGGAAGATCGAGAAATCGAAAAACTGAAAAATTTTAAATTTAAAAATTCGAAAAATTGAAAAATCCAACTAAAAAATAAAAAAATTAAGAGGTCTTAACAAAATTTGAAATTTAAAAGATTTACAAATTAAAATATGGAAAAATCGGAAATTTGGAAATCAAAAAACTTGAAAGATTCAAAAATGTATAAAACGATAATTTGAAAAATATTAAAAATTGAAAAACCGAAAAGCCAAGAAATCGAAAAATTGAATCAAAAAAACTAAAAAACCGAAACATCGAGAAATTTGAAAACCGAAAATTCGAAGAATTGAGAAATCGAAGTAGGCTAAAATCGAAAAATTGGAAATTCGAAAAATCAAAAAATCGAAAAATCTAAAATTTAAAAATTCATAACAAAAAACTAAAAAATAAAAATCCAGAAACTGAAAGATCAACAAAAAAAAAATAAAAATTAAAAATTGGAAAAATTGAAAAATTAAAAATTGAACACTTGTGATATTGCAAATAAAAAAATTGCATAAACTAAAATTTGAAAAATCCCAAAGTGGGAAAATCGAAAACCTGAAACATTTTAAAAATGAAAACTTGAAGAATGTTGTTAAATTCAAGCAACAAAAAAATTGAAAAAATAAAAAATTATACAATCGGAACATGGAAAAAAAATTATAAAAATAAAGAAAATAAAAACCGAAATCAAAAGTTGCAATTCGAAAATTCCAGAAATGGAAAGTTAAAGAATCTAAAAATTGAAAAATCTAAAACCTGAAAAATCCCAAAACTGAAACATTGTGAAATTGAAGTCGAAAAATCGCAAAGTCGAAAAATTTTAAAAATCGAAAAACCGAGATGTCAAGAAATCGAAGAATATAGAATTTAAGAAGTCGAAAAATTGAGAAATTGAAATGGACTAAATTCGAAAAATCGAAAAGTTAAAAATTGAAAAAATTTAAAATAGAAAATTTTTCGAAAAATCGAAAACCGAGCAGTCGAAAATTCGGAAGATCGAGAATTCGAAACATCAATAAACTGAAAAATTGTAAGTTTAAAAATTCGAAAAATTGAAAAATAGAAATATCAAAGGACCAAAAAATAAAAAACTTAAGAGATCGAAAGAAAATCTCAAATGTAAAAAATTTAAAAATTAAAATATCGAAAAATTGAACATACGGAAATCGAGAAAATTGAAAGATTCAAAAATCTAAAATTAAAAAATCGAGAAATTGAAAAACGAAAAATTAAAATATCGATAAATTGAAAAATATTACAAATCGAAAAACAGAAATGCCAAGGAATCAAAAAATCTGAAACACCGAAACATGGAAAAATTTGAAAACGGAAAATTCGAAGAACTGAGAAATCGAAGTAGGCTAAAATCGAAAAATTGGAAAATCGAAAACTCGAAAAATCTAAAACCGGAAGATCAAAATTGAAAAATCTAAAATTTAAAAATTCGAATAATTGAAAAATAGAAATATCAAAGAACTAAAAATAAAAAATCAAGACATCGGACAAAAAAATTAAAATATCGAAAACTTAGAAATCGCTAAATCGAAAAAAATTTCAAGATTGAAAAGTCTAAAATTTAAAAATCGAGAAACTGAAAAATTTACATGAAAAAACTAGAAATTAAAAAATGGAAAAATTGAATAAAAAGTAAAAACAACAAAAATGTAAACCGAAACCAAAAATGGCAAATAGAAAATTCGAAGAAATGAAAAATTAAAGAATCGAAACATTGAAAAATCGACAATCTGAAAAATCAAAAAATTGAAAAATTGAAAAATCGGAAAATCGAAAAATCTAAAAATTGAGAAATCGAAATAGGCCAAAAGCGAGACAGTTAAGCAATGAAAAATAAAAAAAAGTTAGAAAACGATTGGTAATTGAAAAATCTAAAACTGAGAAGTCGAAAAATCGCAACAGATCGAGAAATGGACGTATTAGAAACCTAAAAAATCTGGAATTTAAAAAGTTACAACTGAAAAAACGAAAAATTAAAAAATCGATAAATTGAAAAATATTAAAAATCGAAAAACCGAAATATCAAGAAACCGAAAAATTGAATAAAAAAACTGAAAAACCGAAACAACGAAAAATTTGAAAACCGAAAATTCGAAAAACTGAGAAATCAAAGTAGACTAAAATCGAAAAATCGGAAAATCAAAAAAATCAAAAAATCAAAAAATTTTAAACCGAGAAGTCAAAAATTAGGAAGATCCAGAAATCAAAACATCAAAAACTGAAAAATCTAAAATTTAAAAATTGAGAAACTGAAAAAACTTGAGATAATGCAAATAAAAAGATTGCATAAACTAAAATTTGAAAAATCTCAAAGTTGGAAAATGGGAAACTTGAAAAATTTAAAAATGAAAACTGGAAGAATGTCGTAAAATTCAAGGAACAAAAAAAATTGAAAATTGAAAAATTGCAATTTGGAAAATTGAAGAAAAGAAAAGTCGAAAGAAATTGAAATTGAAAAAATAAAAAATTATAAAATCGAAACATTGAAAAAAAATTGCAAAAATAAAGAAAATGAAAACGGAAACCAAAAATTGCAAATCGAAAATTCCAAGAAATGAAAAATTAAAGAATTCAAAAATTGAAAAATCGAGAATCTGGAAAATCCAGAAATTGGAAAATCGAAACAGAAAAATTGGAAAATCGAGAAATCTAAAACCGAGAACTCGAAAAGTCGAAACGGATCGAGTAATCGAAACATCAAAAAACTGAAAAATCTATATTTTAAAAAGATTGAAAAATTGAAAAATAGAAATACCAAAGAATTGAAAAATCGGAAAATCGACAAATCGAAAACTCTAAAATTTTAAAAACTGAAAAATTAAAATATCGAAAAATTGAAAAATGGAAAACCTAACGTCAAAACATCGAATAATAGATAAATTCAAAATTTGAAAATCGAAAAATCGAAAAATTGAAAAAAGAAAAAAATTTAAAATTTAAAAATCGAGAAACTGAAAAATCTACAATTGAAAATTTGCAAATCGAAAAACCAAAATGTCAAGAAATCGAACCATCAAAAGATCGTAAAATCGAAAAACGTAAAGTTTAAAAGGTCGAAAAATTGAAAAATCCAAAATCTGAAAAATTTATACATCGAAAAATTGGAAAATCGAAAAATCTGAAACCTAGAAATCAGAAAATTTAAAAAAATCTAAAATTTAAAAATTCGAAAAATTGAAAAATAGAAATAGAGGAGAGCTAAAAAGTTAAAAAATCAAGAAATCGAAAAATATATAATTTAAAAATTAAAATATCGATAAATTGAAAATCGAGAAATCGAAAAATTGAAAAAAGAAAAAAAATCTAAAATTTAAAAATCGAAAAGCTGAAAAATCTATAATTGAAAAGTTGCAAATCGAAAAATTGAAATATCCAAAAGTTGAAAAAGAAAAACTGAAAAATTGAAGAAACGAAAAGTTGAAAAAATTAAAATTGAAAAAACAAAAGATTAAAAATCATTTAAATCTGAAAACTCGAAAAATTGCAAATCTGCATTGGTTATACATGGAATCCTAAAACAAAAAAATAATAATTTTTCAAAAAAGCGAGATTTGTTGGGTTGAACTTCAGGACCAGGGAATGTTCTGTGAAAATAACCTTCTACAAATTTTTTATTCGTATGTTGAAGGTATTAAGAATTTCGTTCATAAAAGGCGCTAGCAAAAATCACTTAGTCACTTTCCACTACTTAATCTAATAAGGTGATTACTGATTAATAATTATCCTCCTATAATTACACTCTCGCCGCTCTAGACAATCAAACCAGCTTAGGCAATTTTAACACAAAACAGGTGTTTGTCCATGCATCCAGTCCTCTCAATCGGTACATTTAAAGCATGAATAAGAGCCGCCCAAAGCGCCTTAAACCTAGACCCGACTTAATCCGCTTGTCTCCATCTTGACTCATAAACTGGTTTCAGCCAACGCAAAATCTAATCAAATCGAAAAAAATCCTCGTGCATTGGAAACCATTATCCATATTAAATTTTCCATCCAATCAAGCAGCAAAGAGAAACTCGAAAAATACCAATCATCACTTACAGTGGCCACTACGGTGACGTAATAACGTTGCGTCTTCTCGAAATCCAACGTCCTATTGACCGTAACCTGACCCTGATGCGGCAGATTGATGGCAAAGAAACCGTAGCCGTCTTCGCTGTGGATTCTGTCGTCATCGTGGTCCACATTGTCACCTGGGATGATGGAGTATTCGACTAGACCATTCACACCGGCGTCCTTGTCTTTGGCTAGGATGTCCTAAACAAGCAATTTTTTTGAAAAATATACACCATCGAAAAGAGCGCGGGTTTTTGCAGAACTGTCTTACCTGGAAGATGGTAGTTCCGACAGGTGTGAGCTGCAACGAACGTAATTAACGCATGTCGAAGACACGTAAAGTGTGCAATTACCTCTGAAATGCTCGTTTCGTATGGCGTGTTAACAAATTCAGGGGCGTTGTCGTTAATGTCAGTCAGTCTTACAATTACTGGTATCGTTCGTTTCTTGTGCGTCGACTTGATTGTGCATATTAACTGGAAAAAGCAACGTTAATTAACAACTCGGAGTAATTAAACATGTACGCATGCATGGACTAGCTACGTTATTATTGTTATTATTATTCCAGTCTATGATATAACTCTAACTGCACGCGTGCAATGCAAATTTATTTTCCGGTATCGGCTCCGGTAATTGCTTAATTAGTCGTACAAGATTTGTCGTATTAAAGATCGGTGAACGGTTGTTCAATTTCCAGTTTTGTTGCTGGATTTCGTGACTGGGTTCTCACGTTTGGAGTTCTTTTCGTAATTGTGGAAGTGAGGATAACAGGACTACCGGTTTTGGCTTTCGTTTTTCGTAATCGAGCTTTACCGAACGTAACGTTTTTCAAATGGACGAAATTGGAATAATATATTTTGACGACATTCTGTCTGTGGATTTAATATGAAAAGGTAGAGGTCGTAAAGAAGTAAACAAACAACAAATGTCTGGATCGAGTTGTTGAATTCGTGGAAAAAGAGGACAAGAATTTGTGGAGAAAAATACAGTTTGCAGTATCATCAGAAGGTTATTCTCGCATTCTGTGTAATCAGATATTGTGCTAAATGACATTGTACCAGTGGTAGGTAAAATCCCTTGCAACCTAGTAATTCTAATAGTGTTCAAAATTTCCACAGATTGGAAAGAGTCCAAAGACTCTAAAGACTAAAGATTTTAAAAGCTCTGAAGGATCTAAGGACTCTAAGGGGTTAAAAGCTAAAATTCTGTTTCAAATACTTGAAAGATTCTAAAGGTTCTAGAGAAATTCCAAAAAACCAAAGATCCTAAAACTTGTAAAAATCGCGTGAACTCTTAAAATTCCAAAGATTTTAAAAAATCCAAAGACTTTAAAGAAAACAAAAATGTTAAAGGCCTAAAAATCGTAAAGATCGAAAAAATTCTTTCTTTAATTTTTATACATAAATCCAAAAGCACTGAAGTCCTTGAAGACTGTAAAAATTGCAGAGATTCCAAAGATTTAGACCCTTGAGATATATACATTTTAGAAAATCTGAAAAAATTTAGAAAGTGTGGGAAAGTATTGGAAAAGGTTGAATTTCAAAATTCTGTTATAACTGGAGCTTGATAATCTTAGAAATTTTGAAAAATGTGTAAATTCTGGTACTTCGGAAAATATCCATTCCTTAAATTTTTTTTCTTCAAATTTTCGTTTCGATTTTTATTTTCTTTAGTTTTACAATTTTTCGGTTTTTCAGTGTTCCGATTTAACAATTTTTTGTTTTCACAATTTGTACTTTTTCAATGTTTCATTTTTTTTTGTTTCTTCAATTTTAAGATATGCAAATTTTCGATTTTTCAATTTTTTCATGTATCTTCAATTTTTAATTTTTCAATTTTTCGACTTGTAATTTTTAGTTCCCGTTTATTTTCGTTATTTTTTCAATTATTAGATTTTGCAATTTTTGGCTTTTATAATTTTTTGTTTTTACGATTTTTCGTTTCTTCAGTTTTTCGATTTGCGATTTTCAATTTTTCATTGTTCTTGTTTCTTCAATGTCTCGATTCTTTAATTTTATAGTATAATATAATATTTTTACAATTTTTCTATTCTTCAGTGTTCCAAGTTAACAATGTTTTGTTTTCAATTTGCAATTTTTCAATTTTTTTTTTGTTTATCTTCAATTTTAAGAAATAAATTCAAATTTTTAAGTTTTTCGATTTTCCAAATTTTAAGTGTTTCAGTTTTTAGATTTTGCAATTTTTCGATTTGCAGTTTCACAGATCTTCAGTATTTCGATTTTTCAATTTTTTCATGTCTTCAATTTCCCGTTTTGTTTTTGATTTTCTTTATTTTTTCAATTTTTCGTTTTCAGTTTGTTGAGTTTCTTTTTCTATATTTTTACAATTTTTCGATTTTTCAGTGTTCCGATTTAACAATTTTTGTTTGTCCAATTTCAATTTTGCTTTCGTTTCGGTTTATTTTCTTTACTTTTTCAATTATTCGATTTCGCTTTTATAATTTTTTTTTACTATTTTTGTTTTTTTTTTCAATTTTGCGATTTGCGATTTCCGATGTTTCGCGTTCTTGTTTCTTCAATTTTTCCACGTAAAATTTCTCGAGTTTTCAAATTTTGATTTTTCAATTTTTTTTTTCTTTATTTTTACGATTTTTCGATTTTTCAGTGTTCCGATTTAACAATTTTTGTTTGTCTAATTTCAATGTAGCAATTTTTCATTTCTTTGGCTTCTTCAATTTTAAGATACGCAAATTTTTAAGTTTTTCGATGTTCCAAATTTTGGATTTCGTTTCGGGTTATTTTCCTTATTTTTAGAATTTTTCGATTTTTCAATTTCAATTTTTTCGTTTCTTCTATTTTCTTTTATTTTAAGATATGCGAATTTTTAAGTTTTTCGATTTTCCAAATTTTGGATGTTTCAGTTTTTAGATTTTGCAATTTTTCGATTTGTAGTTTCACAAATTTGCAATTTTTCGAATTTTCAATTTCTTCATGTCTTCAATTTTTCGTTTAGTTTTTGATTTTCTCCATTTTTTCTATTTTTCAGTCTTTCAATTTTTAGATTTTGCAATTTTTCGCTTTCGGTTTGTGGAGTTTTTTATTTTTACAATTTTTCGATTTTTCAGTGTTCCGATTTAACAATTTTTTGTTCGTCCAATTTCAATTTTGCTTTCGTTTCGGTTTATTTTCTTTACTTTTTCAATTTACTTATTCAATTTTTCAACGTTTCGCTTTTATAATTTTTTGTTTTTACAATTTTTCCTTTCTTCAATTTTTCGATTTGCGATTTTCATTTTTCTTGTTTCGTCGATTTTTCGACTAAAAATTTGCTCGAGTTTTCAATTTTTAATTTTTCAATTTTTCTTTCGATTCTCTAATTTTTCGTTTCTTCATATTTTCCTTTCGGCTTTTTATTTCCTTTATTTTTACAATTTTTCGATTTTTCAATTTCAATTTTTTCAATTTTTCATTTTTTCATCTCTTCTATTTTACGAATTTTTAAATTTTTCGATTTTCCAAATTTTGGATGTTTCAGTTTTTCAATGTTTCATTTTTTTTTTGTTTCTTCAATTTTTCGAATTTTCAATTTCTTCATGCCTTCCCTTTTTCGTTTCGTTTTTTATTTTGTTTATTTTTTCAATTCTTCATTTTCTCAATTTTTCCTTTTCAGTTTGTCGAGCTTTCAATTTTTAATTTTTCAGCTTTTTCAGTTATTTTTTTTATTTTTTCAATTATTCGATTTTTCGCTTTTATTTTTTTTGTTTTTACAATTTTCGTTTCTTCAATTTTTTCATTTGCGATTTTTCAATTTTCAATTTTTCTTGTTTCTTCAATTTTTTGGCTCAAACTTAATTTTTCAATCTTCGGATTTTTTAATTTTTCATTTCTTCAAAATTTCGTCTCGTCTTTTTACTTTCTTTATTTTTACAATTTTTCGATTTTTCAATGTTCCGAGTTAACAATTTTCAGTTTTATCAATTTCAATTTTTTCAATTCTTTGATTTGCAATTTTTCAATTTTTATTTTATTTTGTTTTTTCAATTTTAAGATACGCAAATTTACGCGGATTTTTCGATGCTTTTTTTTCAATTTTTAAGTTTGTAAATTTTTGGTTTCTTAATGATTTAATCTTTTCATTTCTTTCATTTCTGCAATGTTTCGATTTTTCAATTTTCTTTGTTTTTTCAGTATTTAAAAAAAAATTGAAAAATCGTAAAATAGTACAATCAAAAATGAAAAAACGAAAAAATTTAATGCAAACCTTGAAAAATCTAAAAATTGAAAATTTTAAAAATTGGAAAATCGAGGAATTGAAAAACGAAGATTGAAAATTGGAAAAATTGAATAATTGAAAAATGATAAAATCCAAAGAAACACTGAAAAAATAAAGGCAATGAAAAAGTCTAATCTCGAAAATCTGAACATTCTAGAAATTTTGAAAATTTTGAAAACTACAAAAATTCCCAAAAAATTAAAATAAAATAAAAAAATATTAAATCTCAAAATCTCAAAACTTTACAAAATCTTAACATTGTAGATATTCTAGAAATTCCAAAGTTTCCAAAAGCACTGAAGGCCTTGAAGACCCTAATTATTATCTTATAAGTCTTGGAAACTGTGAAAATTCCGAACATTTAGACTCTCGAGATACATATATACATTTTAGAAAATCTGAAAAAATTTAGAAAGTGTGGGAAAATATTGGAAAACTTGAATCTAAAAATTCTATTATAATTGGAACTTGATAAGTAATTTTAGAAATTTTGGAAAATGTGTAAATTCTGGTCATTTTGTGTACTTCGGAAAATTACGATTCCTTAATTTTTGCATTCCTTCAAATTTTCGTTTCCATTTTTTATTTTCTTTATTTTTACAAATTTTCGGTTTTTCAGTCTACTGATTTAACAATTTTTTGTTTTTTCAATTTTTAATTTTTCAATTTTTCGATTTGTAATTTTTAGTTCCGGTTTATTGTCTTTATTTTTTCAATTATTCGATTTTTCAATGTTTGGCTTTTATAATTTTTTTATTTTACGATTTTTAGTTTCTTCAGTTGTTCGATTTGCGATTTTCAATTTTTCATTGTTCTTGTTTCTTCAATGTTTCAATGTTTCGATTCCTTAATTTTTCATTTCTACAAATTTTTGTTTCGATTTTTTTTTTCTTTATTTTTGCAATTTTTCCATTTTTCAATGTTCCAAGTTAACAATTTTTTGTTTTCTCTATTTTAATTTTTCAATTTGCAATTTTTCAATTTTTATTTTTTTTGTTTATCTTCAATTTTAAGTTTTCCGATTTTCCAAATTTTGGATATTTCAGTTTTAGATTTTGCAAATTTTCCATTTGCAGTTTCACAGATCTCCAATATTTCGATTTTTCAATTTTTTCATGTCTTCAAATTTTCGTTTTGTTTTTGATTTTCTTTATTTTTTCAATTTTTCGGTCTTTCAATTTTTAGAGTTTGCAATTTTTCGCTTTCAGTTTGTCGAATTTTCAATTTCTCCATGTGCAATTTT